CACACACACACACACACACACTCTCTCTCTCTCTCTCACACACACACACACACTCTCTCTCACACACACACACACACACACTCTCTCTCTCTCTCACACACACACGCACGTACACACACACACTCTCTCTCACACACACACGTACACACACACACGTACACACACACACACACTCTCTCTCACACACACACACACACACACACACCCCCACACACACCCCCCCCCCCTCACACACACACACACCCCCCACGTCTCACACACACACACACACACACCTCACGTCTGACCCGCCCCCCAAAACAAACACACACACACACACACACTCGGAGCAGGGCAGACTGCAGCGAACGGCTCCGCTGGCTGTGTGTTTGAGAGACACAGAGCAACTCATTGCGTTTCTTCTGACTCTGTGTGTGTGTGTGTGTGTGTGTGTGTGTGTGATGTAATTGTTTAACTCCAGCGGGTCATAACAGGGCGATTCATCCGTTAATCACCATATGAGATCCATCAGCAGGACATCAGACACAGAGACGCTCGAGAAACAGTGAGTCTGACTCGGATCTCCTCACTGAACTCTGCAGAAGTGTTGGTTTGACTTCATTAGCTCGGTTTAATTGGTCTCTTTAAGTTCGGCTTTGCTTGTTCTTGAAGTTGAGAAGTAGTTTTAATGCCACTTAACTATAAGAGACTATTTGTGTCTGTCTCTCGTTCTGTTTCTCTTTGAAATGTAACATTGGATCCGTTGGTAGTGTTTTTTTTATGAAAGCAGGGCTTTTGGTTTCTTGTGGACGTGCTGTTTAAACTGCGTCTGTTCGCTTTGGCATAAAACAGAGGAGGCTTTTAAGACGCATGCTTTATTAGAGTCAGGTGGTATCAGACTCTGTCTGTCTCTCTGCCTGTCTCTCTCTCTGGTGTTCTGGACCGAGTGAACTACATTGTTCTTGTGCCTCGTTCTGTGATTGTGAGCCAGTTCTGGCCATGTGAAGACTTGATTACTTTCCATCAGTGCGAAACCGGCCAGAGCGAGTCCAGAACATTCAGCAGAGACTGACACTCTAATAAAACAAGATAAATGAGGTTTAGAAAAGCAGCAGAGGCATTCTTCTGAACTCTGATGTCGGATTATTCGGAGCGTTAACGATGTGTTTTCAGGTTTGGCGATGAGGCTGTGTGTTCTGCTGGCGTGTTTGCTGCTTGAGTTCTGCGGCGCAGCTCCACACGCTCACATCAACCGCCTCGCGCTCTTCCCCGACAAAAGCGCCTGGTGTGAGGCCAAAAACATCACGCAGATCGTCGGACACACGGGCTGCACGCCACGATCCATCCAAAACAGGTCTCACACACACACACACACACACACACACACTGTTGTCCAGTTTAGGGAATTCCTGAATGTTTCTCTGTGTTCGTTTGACCAAAATAAACATTCAGCTATTAAATATTGCGATACTTGAGCAGTGCAGCAATTATCATGTGTGTTGTGGGCTTTGTAGATGGATCTAACAGTGTTGTGTTTTCAGGGCCTGTCTGGGTCAGTGTTTCAGCTACAGTGTGCCCAACACCTTCCCACAATCCACCGAGTCTCTGGTCCATTGTGATTCCTGCATGCCGGCGCAGACGCAGTGGGAGGTGGTGAGTGTGTCACCATTAAACTACAAACATGTTTAGGAGTTATTCCAAAACCACTGCGTACAGTACGTTGCAGTAGTGAAAATCTGCTGCAGTAAGATGTTGATGCAATTGTGAAAATGCTGAAAAACGTCTCAGGTTACGTGTGTAACCATGGTCCTGCGTCGGAAAAGGCTTCAGGAACGCCTTCTGTGACCATGCTCTGAATCAAATGTGAAATCAGTCGAATAGCTGAGCGGGACGTCATGGGCGGGTGACGTCATGACCAGGAAGCTATAAAAGCACGTGCGGCAGAGCCGGCGCAGCATCTCGTTCCCTCGAGGAAACATGGTTACATACGTAACCTGAGACGTTCCTCTTCAGGAACTCGAGCTGCGTCGGAAAACGCTTCGGGAACGAGAATGCCCACACCGTCAGACTTCCAAATCTCTGCCTAGTGTGGCAGCTTGCACAGCTAGGGCGAGAGAACAGAAGAGCCAGGAGTGGCTCGCATGTCTAGACCGTAGAACACGACGAAGACACATAGACACACGCCTGCTAAAAAAGCCTTAGAGGCCGCCACACTTCAAGTAGAATGAGCCTTGACCCCTAGCGGCGAGGGGAGATCAGAGGACTCATAAGAGATGGAGATGGCATCCACTATCCACCGGTCTGTTTCGTTGCTGGAAGACCTCTCTTAGGGGGACCGTAGCAAACAAGCAGCTGGTCCGTCCTCCTCCACAGGGCAGCACTGTGGATGTATACAATTAAGCTTCTGCTGGTCTGGCTCTCTGAAGGGAGGAGGACTGAAGGCCTGAAGTACGATGGGCTGCGGTGCAGATGAGGGGACTTTAGGGACATATCCCACTCGAGGGTACAGAAACGCTTTGGCCAGACCGGGTGCAAAGTCAAGATAGGAAGGGGCCATAGATAGGGCCTGCAAATCCCCAACTCTCTTAAGAGAAGATATCGCCAAAAGAAAGGTAGTCTTTATCGTAACATGGCGATCAGAAATCTCCTCAACTGGCTCAAATGGAGGCTTACAGAGAGCTTCTAGCACCACTGCCAGGCGTCAGCCTCTGTCTTCCCACTGACTGACCACCGAGAGGGGCGTGCTGAAAAACATTGTGGTCGAATCCCACACCATGCCCAGATAAGTGGAGAAAGCACACTCTTCTTGGCGTTTAGTCTTAACCCCAAGTCTCTCATATGAGTGAGAACGACATCTCAATGTCGAACCGCTACCTGCTTTGAATGAGCTATAATCAACCAATCGTCGATGTAGTTGAGTATGCAGATGCCCTGGAGTCGCAACGGAGCCAGAGCAGCATCCACACACTTCGTGAAATTGTGGGGTGAGAGTGCAAGGCTGAAAGGAAGAACACGATATTGGTAAGCTTTGCCCCCAAAAACGAACCTCAGGAACTTCCTGTGATGAGGAAGGATGGAGATATGGAAATATGCGTCTTTTAGATCGATCGTGACGAACCAGTCCTCGGACCTGATCTGAGACACGACTTGTTTGAGTGTGAGCATTCTGAACTTCAGTCGCACGACTGAGCGGTTCAATAGGCGCAGATCTAAAATTGGATGCAACCCCCCATCCTTCTTCGGAACAATGACGTACCGGCTGTAGAAACCGGAGTCTGCCTCGTGCGGAGGGACCACCTCGATAGCCTCCTTATTTAAGAGAGTAACTACTTCTTGTTCTAATACCAGAGCCTGCTCAGGACCCACTAGAGTGGGGTTGACCCCGCTGAATCGAGGCGGACGAGAACCGAACTGGATTCTGTAGCCTCTTTCTACAGTACGCAGGACCCATTGAAATACATTTGGCAGTAGCTTCCACGCTGTTAAATAATCTACTAAGGGAATCAGTCTCTCGAGACTGATCTCTGGTGTGCCCAGAGCGACGTAGCGGCACTGAGAGGCTTGCAATCTAAATTGTCATTATTTGTGCTTCGATAATAAAAACAACAAAAATGGTCACATCCAAATTGTCACTTTTGTAGCAATAGTGAAAATGGTACATTTCATAAATATTGCGACTCAATTAAATTTGTGCTGCAGTAGCGAAAACTGCAGAAATACTGCACCCGAATTGTCACTTTTGCTGGAATAGTGAAAATAGTGAACTGCAGAAATATTTGCGAGTAAGTAATAAAAGTTCTGCTGCAGTAGCGAAAACTGCAGATTTACTGCGTGAAAATTGAAATTTTTGATGCAATTGTGAAAATGCTGAAAAACTGCAAATATACTGCGTCTAAATTGACATATTTGTTCTTCAATAGTGAAAATCGCACAAACACTGCATCTAAATTATCATTATTTGTGCTTCGATAATAAAAACAACAAAAATGGTCACGTCCAAATGGTCACTTTTGATGCAATAGTGAAAATGGTACATTTCGTAAATATTGCGACTAAATTATATTTCTGCCGAAGTTGTGAAAACAGCAGAAATACTGCGTGAAAATTGACATTTTTGATGCAATAGTGAAAACTGCAGAAATACTGCATCCATATTGTCTCTCTTGTTGTAGTAAAACTGCACCTTGAAAATGACAGACTTCATAAATATTGCAATCATATTTGTGCTGCAATAATGAGTACTCAGTAGGTTGTCTGCAGTAGTGAAAACAGCAGAAATGTTGCATGTGAGTTGACATATGCACTAATCTGAACTGCAGTAATACTGTGATTTGTGGGTTGTTCTGTGGCGTGCCGGTGAGTTCTCAAAATCAAAACACGTCGATGTGCGTTTGAGATGATAAATGCGTCCTGCCGCATGCCGTGTGTCTTGTCGTGAGCTGAGCTATTTAACATCCAGCGCAATGATTGATGGACTCGCAGTGGAGCTTGAGTGACTCTTTATGAGGCATGTTGAAAGACAACAAACACACTCATCTGTCTTGCTCAGAGAACACGGTGAGTGTGTGTTGAGTTTGTGTAGTTACAGTGTTTCGCAGTAGGCTTTAGTTCTGGCTGCTCAGCCGCTTTATTTTGCTTTGCCTGGCAGAAGACGGGAATGCTTGACCACCGGCGATTTAGCGCGAGGACAGTGTGTGCGAGATATCAACATATGAAAATAATCACTTTGTTTGCCCTCCGTTGAGATCTGGGAACGGTTGCATTGGCGCTAACCGAACACCGTTGTGACGCACAAAGAATGTCGACTTGAAAAGATTTAGCTATATTTACACGCACTAACATCATGTTCTGTTTGCGAGACCTCTCCTAGCGTTCACCGCTCTCTGCTACTTATTACGTTCTTTCATACAATCTGGCTTTAATCGAAAGCAGTTCACGTTTGGTAAATAAAACCGACTTGTGTTTTACAAAGACCTGCAGTAATGTGACAGCAACCTGATCTGACCCGCATTACCGACACATTAGCGTAGACTAACGTTACACAGCGTCCTAACCAGAGTAATTTCAAGAAAAACTAAATCACAGCCAATCGGAACATGTTTGGCTTTCATTTTAGACCACTGAGATTTCCCCCTGAAAACGGTCGAGGGGACTTCCACAGCAACAAAGCAACCGAGTGTCGGTTATACCAGCAGTCAGTGTTTAGCCAATTAGCATAGTCCAGTTAACAACATCATTATTCAGGCAAAAAGCATGTATCTCTGTTGATGGCCACTTAAAAGTTGTCTCTAAAGTGTGTTCTGGCAACTTTTTGCCAGCGATGCATTAGCATAAAAGGACTGTGAACTTTGTGAAATAGACATGTTTTTCTCCTCATTTGCATTTCATTTACATATGTTCATTTAGCAGGCACTTTTATCCAAAGTGACTTACAACTTGAGGAGCATCACAAGTATTTGCTTGGTTTCAAGAGGCATTGTGGCTCAGGTGTGATCTCTTTGGTTGCGTTGCACTGATGTGCATTTGCATAATGTGTCGCTGCTTTAACAACACTTGCTGAAACTTGTGTTGCTTCAGATCTCTAACTTTCACCAGCATGAATGTCCTCTGCTTTCTTTGTTGCCGAAAAGTGTTGCCTTTAATATGGAAAAGACAGTTTATCGCTTAATGCATTACTGCGTCACAGCATGTCAGTGAACAGTGTTGCAATCACAAGCATTTTATGCATTGCTTTGCAGCTCATTTGCATAATGCATCTCTGCAGCAGCAACACTCACTAATCTCAGATCTACAACTCTGACCTAAATGAATGTCCCCTGATTTCTTTGTTGCTGCATATCGCTTACTTTAACACTGAAAGATTGTCTCTGGCTTGTTGCATTACTGCGGTGCAGCATGTTAGTGAACAGTGTTGCAATCAAATCAAACTGACGTGTAGGGCTGCCAAAAAAAACCCTTGAATATTCGTCGAATTAAAAAAAATCCACATTCGAACGCAAAAACGTTACATTCGAATTTTAGGTGTGCGTTAAGGAGGCACATACATGATGCTGTTTTGTTTATAGTTGTTTAAGCAACTTAATTAATTATAATTCGTTTATAAACATTATTTTAAACATTATGCACTTTTTTCACAGATAGTCGTGTTATTTTATTGCTTTGGAGAGACGTGCATTAGTAATATTTTGCTCGATGCGCCCTCTTGTGGCCTCAGGAGAGAAGCCAAAAGCTTTTTTTCACCCTAACTGAAATTACGCATTTTAAATTCGAATATAATTCGAATATTTAAGTACAAAATTCTAATTTAGTTGTGAATTTGTGTGTTGGCAGGTGACTCTGGATTGCGCCGGCAGCGATGAAGCCCCGCGTGTGGATAAGCTAGTGGAGCGCATCCTTCACTGCAGCTGCCAGTCGTGCAGTAAAGAGAGCAGCCAGGAGGGGGCGCTGCTGCAGCTGTATCCGTCAGAGGGAGCGCTGGAGACGCCGTCGCTGTCAGACGCTAGACACACGCAGCACGCTCACATGCACGCCGACACGCATTTAGACGTACATGCACCTGAGGCCGGGTGATGCGCGCACACACGTGCATGCTTTACACTAGGGCTGCGCAATTAATCGAAAGCGATAGTCATGCGCATCTCGTCCGTAAAGCCGGTTCTGTGATTAGTAGTAAATCTCCAGCATCTGCTTTCAGATGGTGCAGCATTTACTACACAGAGTGTAGAAATAGTTCAGCGATAATGACAGCTGTTTGCGTAGCTTCTCAATAAACTACACCTCTGTGTCGTAAATGTCACTTTCGCCTAATCGCGATTGCGATTTAATTGCGATTAATCGTGCAGCCCTACTTTACATTTTAAAGCCTACTGAACTCTCCGTCTCTGTCTGTCTAAAGCACTTTTTCACATAGAGATCATGACACTAATCAAGACTTCGTCACAGTCGCTGAAGCTTCAGTCAGCTCTGTGAATAAATGCACACACACTCGACTATATATTACTGACGCATTCGCGCACACGTCCAGATCTATATATCTGTAATGTAGCCTACAGGAACCCGTACAGTCAGACTGTGTGTCACTTATGTAATATTGTTTAATCACAATAAAACGTGAAATCACCTTTATGTCTGAGGGTTTATTCTTTAATCTATACAGTTGTACGAGACTCTAGCTATGTTTCCATTTCCCCGTTTTTATGCACATTTTTAAGTATCGCATCAGAAACGAGTGATGAGGTGGTTTTTTGTCTTGTGTGTGGTTAATGCGAAGATTAATGTGAGATGGAAACGCATTTGCCGAATAAATTCAGTTTGTCAGGAAGTGACGATTTTGTTCACTTTGACTCGTCAGATGGAAACGGTGCTTTATTCGCAAATGTTTTATGCAACATTCTAATTTGGCGCACAAGTTAAATTCGCAACTTTGGATGGAAACCGACTTCTGTCCCTAAACATAGTAGGCTGCTTATGTAGGGAATTCACTTTTTAATTCACAAGACAATCCCAGAATGTTTATATGCACATATATGCCAATACAATTCAGCAACTAAATGTTGCATGTTTTAATTAAAATATTTTTTCGTATTTTTATGTATATGTATGCTAATTAGCACTATACAAACTTATTCCCCATCTAGTGTTCTAAATCTTGTGAGCAATGTTGGGGGTAATGCATTACAAGTAACGTGAGTTACATAATCAGATTACCTTTTTCAAGTAACTAGTAAGTAGTCAAGTAACGCATTACATTAACAAGAAAATATCTGAGTTACTTTTTCAAATAAGTAACGCCAGTTACTTTGTATTCACATGCATTGACTGACAGCTCTGGTGTTGCCATGGTGACAGAAATCAGGAGTAAGTGCAGAGACTCTTGCTTCTGACTGAAGATTATTAATATCACTTTTGATGTAAAAGGGCCTTTACAATTACCAGAAATATAACTTTTTTTTTGTTATTAAAAATAAATAAGCAATCCCAGCACAGGTGACAAAAAGTAACGCAATGCATTACTTTCCATAAAAAGTAACTAAATAACACAATTAGTAACTTTTTTATGGAGTTACGCAATATTGTAATGCATCACTTTTAAGAGTAACTTTCCCCAACACTGCTTGTTAGTTTCCTTTTTAACTATGATGCTTCCTTAGAAGTGTGCTTACTATAGACACTTTCCTAGGCTTTTGAAATGGAGCCGCGTCTGTATTATTTATAATCCACTTTCACGTGTAATTTCGCAGCAGCTTTGCAGGAAATTACAATTTATTTGAGCAAGACAAAGTGACTGTGGCGAGGTAAGTGCTTTTGTGAGTCATGACATATGTCTGTCTGTCACCACTACAGTGATCTTCAGATGAAAAGGCCACGTGGACGACAAGTGTTCCGCGGATGTGTTGCCATGTTAACCCTCGGGGACAGTGATTATCGCTGGTGACCTGTGTGTGTGTGTGTTTGTGTGTGTGTGAGAGAGAGAGAGAGAGTTTGTGTGTGTGTGTGTGTGCGAGAGAGAGAGAGAGAGTGTGTGTGTGTGTGAGAGAGCGAGTTTGTGTGTGTGTGTGTGTGCGAGAGAGAGAGAGAGAGTGTGTGTGTGTGTGAGAGAGCGAGTTTGTGTGTGTGTGTGTGTGCGAGAGAGAGAGAGAGAGTGTGTGTGTGTGTGAGAGAGCGAGTTTGTGTGTGTGTGTGTGTGCGAGAGAGAGAGAGAGAGTGTGTGTGTGTGTGAGAGAGCGAGTTTGTGTGTGTGTGTGTGTGCGAGAGAGAGAGAGAGAGTGTGTGTGTGTGTGAGAGAGCGAGTTTGTGTGTGTGTGTGTGTGCGAGAGAGAGAGAGAGAGTGTGTGTGTGTGTGAGAGAGCGAGTTTGTGTGTGTGTGTGTGTGCGAGAGAGAGAGAGAGAGTGTGTGTGTGTGTGAGAGAGCGAGTTTGTGTGTGTGTGTGTGTGCGAGAGAGAGAGAGAGAGTGTGTGTGTGTGTGAGAGAGCGAGTTTGTGTGTGTGTGTGTGTGCGAGAGAGAGAGAGAGAGTGTGTGTGTGTGTGAGAGAGCGAGTTTGTGTGTGTGTGTGTGTGCGAGAGAGAGAGAGAGAGTGTGTGTGTGTGTGAGAGAGCGAGTTTGTGTGTGTGTGTGTGTGCGAGAGAGAGAGAGAGAGTGTGTGTGTGTGTGAGAGAGCGAGTTTGTGTGTGTGTGTGTGTGCGAGAGAGAGAGAGAGAGTGTGTGTGTGTGTGAGAGAGCGAGTTTGTGTGTGTGTGTGTGTGCGAGAGAGAGAGAGAGAGTGTGTGTGTGTGTGTGAGAGAGAGAGAGTTTGTGTGTGTGTGTGTTCAGCAGGTCACGTGACAGAAGTGAAACGGGACAGCTCAAAGTAATCTAAAAGTAGTCTGATTACATAACCTGAAATGTGTAATCTAACGGATTACATTACTAACGACAATTTTTGTCATGCTATTTGGAATCAGTAACGGACTACAATCTGCCCAGCTCTGTCGATTACCCAAAAATGGCCCATAAAGAATGATTTAATTAGCCATCATGCTTTTATCTGTCCATCCCTGATGAGCTGAGCGGCTGTGTCTCTTATCTCTCCAGCACAGGACTCTGGGAAGGAATGGAGCTCATCAGTTTCATTATCAACTCATCTGTGATTAATCATGTCAGCGAGAGAGATATGCTGCCGAAAGCCAAAACTATGCTTTGGTTTTCTGTTTGCAGTAAAATGTTCTAATTTATTTTGTTAGACTAGAATTCTTGATGTATAAAAAATTGCATATTTTTCACTTTTTGCTTATTAGCCTGTAGCCGGCAAACCAGCTAAATGAGGTGCATTTCATGTCAAGCTTCTTCAACAGTTGCACACAACATGCTCACAAGCTAAACTGCACTTGGTGACTTGTAATCAGCACTAATTAGCGTCCACCATTAGCAATTAGCTGCCACACAGCCAACTTAGAAAGTCACGACTCAGAAAATCGTGAGTTTCCCCACTGATAATTAGGTTCATGTGAAGGTGGCGAGAGTCTTCGTCTCGTTTCGTCTTCCAGAGTTTAGTTTGTTTTGTTTCCTTTGAGTTAAACTGAAGCCCTGAGTAAATCCTGATGGATTTAACCACTACTTTTTTCAAGTAACTAGTAAAGTAACGGATTACTTTTTAATTTAGAAGGAACTATCAGAGTTACTTTTTCAAATAAGTAACAGCAGTTACTTTGTTTCCAATGTGTTGAGTGACAGCTCTGGTGTTGCCATGGTGACAGAAATCCTGCTGTGAGAGGGCTTTACATTTGTAAAATAACTTTTTATATTAAAAACAAACAAGCAAGCCCTGCCCAGATTTAAAAAGTAACTCAAAAGTAACGTAACACACTACTTTCCATCAAGAGTAACTAAGTAACGTAATTAGTAACTTTTTTATGGAGTAACGCAACATTGTAACGCATTACTTTTAAAAGTAACTTTCCCCAGCACTGAACAGATGTAAACCACCACGATCGTCTAACAGTTACCACGGTTTACCTGACAGTACCGCATCTAATAGTCTGCAAGTTAATGTTACTACAGATATTAACTTGATAACTGTCACCACTGTTAGAAACATTTTAAATTCAACAAACTGACAGAAATATTATTACAGCTTCTCAGAGTCGGAGGAAAAAACATTAATTTATTATGATTTTACTGTTGTATCCATATAGCAATGGGGATTTGCATTAAACTAGTTTTTAAAAGAAAATGTGAACCTTTTGAGTGTTTTTAGCTCGATCGATGTCCTCAGACAGACCTCTCCTCTCTCTCTCTCTCTCTCTCTCTCTCAGTGTGATGTTTGTATCCTCTGGATAACAGAATACAATCTCTGCAGCTCCACAGAAGGTAAGACACTGAACGCTTCTCCCTGTAATCCTGTAAAGTGTTTGATTTTGTCGACTCAAACTGTCATTATTAGCATTCATTCCTCTTTCATTCATTCAGAGGATGTTAGGATCCAAACAGACCGCCAAAGACTTAAACTACTTCAGTCTGTGTGCATTGAATTTATTTAATACACGAGTTTCACAATTTGAGTTATATTACTGAAATAAATGAACTTTTCCACGACATTCTAATTTATTGAGATGCACCTGTATGTCTCAATAGTTAGCGAGCGTCGCACTGAACCGAGTCCCAGAAATGCCGTTGACTCGGAACGCGCCAAAAACCATTTGAAGTGAAGCGCGCGAAAATTGCAGACTCAGTAACCGTTAAAAACAGACACGGACTGTTTATTTGCTTTATTCAGTTCTGCTCTGATTCCCAAGTGTTCGACTGACTGGACAAAGATGAATCGATTCCAGAGTGGCCAAAACAGTTTAGCGTGTATAAATGACATCCACATATAATCGAAACGCTACTGGAATATGATGTTTGTACTCATAGGCGTAATTTGCGGGTGGTACATGTCCCCACCACTTTTTGAAAGCAATTGAAAAATATATTGCGGAAGGTATGTATTAAAGGAAAACAAGATTAACAAATCATTCTTCATAATCTAACGTGATTTGCAGCTGTCGCTCTTTCGGTAATGTCATTGGGCTATAGCATTTTATTTTAAAAATGGAGAACTTCCTTGTGCTAAGTAGGCCTGCCCTCTACTAAAGATGTTTCTAGTCAACTAGTCGCACGTTATATTAAATTGATTAATAT